AAATGAAATATGAACTTACACTTAGATAAGTATAACTAAAAATAACTTTTTGAGAATCAAAATAACAATCTAATAACAACTACTAAATTGATGACCGGTTGTTTCTTATACAAAATTAGAAATCATATTTGAATTAATTTTAAATCTTTCAATGTGTAAAGTCTAATTATATTTTATATTTTAATGAGTAGTTAATTAAAAAAATTGCATGAATTTCTATTGTTTTTAATGAATTAATTTTTAATGCCTGATATTGTTTTTGATTTTACTTGTAAAATATTTATTTTATCTTTTTGTAAAGATTTCAACTGATTGATCTTAAATAACTTACTATCTTTTATTATGTCATTATAATAGTTATTAGTTAGTGTACTATAGAATATATTTTTTGTAGGATTCTCCTAATTTATCGCTCTGTCATCAACGGACAAAATCAAATCCAGATCAGTTGGGTGAAGGTAAACCAGTCAGTAAGTTGATAAATTGTCTAGATGTAATGTATAATTTTTGGCATATAACAAATTTTTTTTCTTATAGATAATAAAAAATTAAGTTTATCCGAGTCTTTCAATGACTTACATTTAGTTAAACATTCAAAAGGTGGTTTGGCTTGGGATGTTGTTTCACCTCCACGTCAAAATTCTCCTAACCGATCTCCTGATGATATACTGCCTATTGATAAAATCTTAGATACTGTAAAATAATATTAATTTTTTTATTGCTTTAATTTTTAACTTAAATGATAATTTCTTATTTTTTAATAGACTAAACTAGGAATAGGTAATCAAAGTTTAGTTGAATCAGTTGATTGTACAGATACAAAATTATCCCAGACCCCTATAATATCAATGGAGGATGATGATGTTTCTGACCAGGAATCTGTAAGTCAAATAAATATTTATTTAACTAATATAATATTTAATTTTACTAATATTTTTAGAGTCACTTAGAAGAACATGGCCCATTTAAAAGTTTCACAAAATTGGTGGAACATAATGCACATCTTGCAGTATTTTTAAATTATGTTATATCAAATAGTGATCCTTCAGCTTTAGTAAGTTAAATTTGAATTACTTTTTGAAGTATACTATTTAAGTGTAATAGTTAGGATTAAAGACTTTTATTTAATGATATTTTTATTTTACAGCTTTTCTATTTAGTAACTAACTTATACAAAGAAGGTAATGCCAAAGAAATGAAAAAATGGGCTTATGAAATTCATTCTAGTTTTCTTGTACCATGTGCAGTAAGTTTTTATTTTAAGAAGTTAAAACCTTAATAATTTCCAGTTTTTACTAACTTGTACTATTAAACTTAAAGCCATTAAGACTTACAAATATTGAGGATAATATTGTTCGTGAAATTGATGATATTCTTCAAAATGACTCTGATCGAGAAGAAATATTGCGTAAAGTAAGTAAAATTTGAAATAATATTTTTTAATTCATTAATAAATCAATTTTTACCTTTTAAGGTATTTTGGAAAGCTCGGACAAAAGCTAAAGAAGAGTTGAATGATCAACTAAGTGATTTTCGACATAGGAGAACAGCCGGCCTTGGTACATTATTTGGTCCACCTGATTCACAACTTGATGATAGTATTAATGATAAAATGAAAGAATTAAAAATTATCGAGATGATACTTGTTCCAAACATGGAGCCATTTATGTAAGTTATGATATTTTATATCAAGATATATCTAGAAAACAGAAAATTTGAATAAGACAAATCTAAATTTTC